TTTCCTGAATCCGTTTTCGTCTGTGTTAAGATTTTTGCCAGGCTGGTTCCAAGTATGATTGAAACCTGAGACACTTAGCCTTTTTTACTTTGATCAGCGAAACATATAGTTTCTTATTTTGCGTGTCTTGTTCAGAAACAGTTTCCTATAATGTTTTTTTTGCAGTTCCTGTCCTACCGTCAATTTCGACGCCTGGGGCGAAGTCCAACTTGGAATTCTTCTGTCAGCATGGTAAGAATATTTCAACATGTGCTAAATATTTTTTTCCAATTCTTTTGGCGAAGCTAGTTTCTGGTTGTAAATACTGATTGCTTTCAGGCGTTATTCGGATTTGGACAATCAGCTGACATTACTATAAAATTGGATGATGAAGAAACACGAAAGGTTTTTTTATATTCATTTACCGATGGACACAGAAAATTATGCCAAGCGTACAAATGCGGCCATTTCATGAGATGCTTGGGGAGTGTTTTGAATTGTTGGCGGGCTCGCAGCGAAGTTGTCTTATAGAGAACACAGTTGTGCGCGCCCCGACAACAATTGCGATGTTTTCCTGGCAAGCAGAACGGGTCCTCTAAACTGCCCATTCTGTTTTTTCTTTTGAAAATTTTCCGTTTACGAACTGTGCAAGAAACAAAACTGGTTAAGACTGTCGGAAGCTTCTGTCCTGTATGGGGTTTGTCTTGTTTGCCTGAGTTTTTTGTTCAGTTGGCCGGTGTTTTATGTGTATGTTACTGTATTATAATTTTGTTACAGCTAACAGTACATATAACTGTTGCTCGGTTATTTAATTTGACTAACAAGCATAAATGGTTTTTTTTTCAGACAGCAAAGATTCGAGGAGAGGATGGGCAACAAGAAACTCACTACTTGTTTTACGATGGTGAAACCATTGCTGGAACGGTGAATATTGCCTTGAAAAAAGCCAATCAGAAGCTTGAGCACCAAGGCATTCGCATCGAGTTCATTGGGCAAATTGGTGAGCTTGCACATTATGATTTTTTTTTGCATGGGACAGGGATGTGGAAGGAAAGAGAAAGGGAAGGAAAAAGAAAAATTCAAAAACACTTTCTCTTAGTGCTCCCGCTTTATGATTTCAGAGGTATATTATGATCGTGGAAATCAGCAAGATTTTATTTCCTTGACGAAAGATCTTGCAAGACCTGGAGAATTGACACAGAACTCGTCCTTTCACTTCGAGTTCCACAATGTAGAGAAGCCGTACGAGTCGTACATGGGAATCAATGTTAAACTAAGGTGCGCTTTTGTTACAACACCTTTCTGTGCGATTTAATGAACTTTTGGGTTGTGTAATATCTTTTTTAAGGTACTTCCTTCGAGTTACTATTGTTCGACGAATAACTGACATTACAAGAGAAATGGATCTCATTGTTCATACTCTAAGCAGTTATCCTGATGCTGATGTTAACCTCAAGATGGATGTACGTTTTTTTATTTTTCATGTTTGCATGACATGTTTGTCTGAAGTGCTGGTTTCTTCCAATTTGCCCTTCGTCTTGTAATGATGACTTTTTGTAATTTCTCGTACCATTGCCAAATGTCTTGGAATGGGACTACTACTGCCGTGACCATGGCGCTAAGAAGAAATCATTATCGTCGAACCTTGATCGTGAAAGTGGTGTAGCTTTGTTCGTTTAGTTTGTTCGTTTAGCCATTTTAATCTTCCCTACGTCTTCCAACCGAGCTCGCGCGTGTCTTTTATAGTACCTAGCCCTCTCTCCTTTCTCCTTGCATCAATCTCGTGCTGTGGCGGAATCTATTGCTTTCGTTAGATTTGCCATTCACCTATTCGAGGTGTATTTTGCCATGACCAATATTCCGTGAAGTTGTCTTTCTCACGTCTCCACCTCTCCTTTGGGGATCATTACATCGCATGATGTACGTACGCGTAATACAAGGCGATAGCTAATAGTTGACTTTGTTAGCACTTGGAGTCCAGAAATGTCTACACCTCGATGCTGATTTTGCGAAATGTTCACACACACTGAGTAGGCGGGCACTGTCTTCAAACGGCAGTTCCTATTTCTTTTTGCCTCTGGGATTTTCCTTCAGATCACTTGCTTCATCACGCGTGGGATCGCCTTCAGGACTTTCTTCTAAGTTCTTTTGCCGTGAAATGCAGCGTTACCATCTCGGTCCTAGAGAGTTTCAGAGCTGCTCTTGATTGCACGTATCCGTGAAATCACCTTTTGAGGCCTTACCATAGATTCTCATTCAAGTGTTTTCTGACATTCTTTTGCGATAGAAGGTTCATGTTTGTGAATGTTGTCTAAGCCGGTCAACTTCTACAAGTCTTCCCTAATGCTCGACCAACCTGCTTCTCTATATAGTACAGGGAACCGGTCTTCGCCACTATTTATTTATTTATTCAATACGCTGTGTAAGACAGCGTGAGAGAGGGGAAAAATGAAACAACCGTAACAGGAAAACAGAACAACACAATACCAGAAATGAAACAGCTAGACCGAGACACTAGACCCCTATGCATGTAGTATTTGCTTTGCTGCAATCCGTTTGAAGGATGCACAGGAGCCTTGGATGGATGTACATAGATTTGGTAATACGAAAATTTTGGAACGCTTCACGAATTTGCGTGTCATCCTTGCAAGGGGCCATGTACTTTTTGTGTTTGTTGTACTTTTTTTGGAACTGCCGGTTGGAGCTCATGAATTGCGTTATACCATTTATTAACTACGGGGATTTTTCGGAAGGGTAGACGGAACTTGAACCTAATGAGACCTCTGCGGCTTCGTTCTGTGTCTTCGGCCTGAGTAGGCTTCTATTTACGCGTTTGTTTGCACCTCTTTTACATGTAGCATGCTGTCGCTAGAGTTCGTTCTCTTGTTCCATCAAGTGGTCCTTTCGCCCATCCTCAACTGTCCTGATCTATAGAAGTGTGTTGCACCAAAGCGTCGCCACGGTCTTTATTTCAAAAATAGAAGGTATAAAACGTTTCTGGCAAAGAAACTAAAACCCAAAGACTCATCACTGAGAACAACTATCCTTTTCTTTAACGGTTATTGACGAACTGCACCCAACAGCACCTAGCTTGTGAAGTGGCACCGGCAGAAAGCAACTGCCCTCGACCCGTGCAACGCGCATTTCAGAAGAAAAACAATTAAGCTAACATCGGGCTTATGATTAGTTGAGGCCCAAACCTCCGAGCTTGGCCTCACTGAAGTAGCCGCTTCCTCGGTGAGGTATGTCGTACGCCACTGCAGATGTCCCGCCTTTTTTGCTCATCGAAACACGTCACTAACCAGAAGCCAGGTGCTAAGGAATTTGATCTAATCCTACCATGCATACTCCCATCTTGACCAAATCGCTCCAATCGCAAAGTCTGACATCGGCCATTGTATGCGTATCGGTCGTTAGGCATGTCCGTGAATTGGATGATCGATACGCATCCATTGCTGTGGATAGTTACGATTGGTCGACCACTATGAATACGCCTTGGACTTTTCCGCAACGTAGAATAAGAAGACTCATATTTCTGTGTTTTTCACAAATTTCTTTCGTTTTTTCTCCACTTGCAGTCTATCTCCCATCCTTACTTTCGTATTGGAGTAGGGTTATCACATCAATTCAATCTTCTTCTTTGCACATAATAAATGTTTTACCTTGCAAACTCATGAGTCGCAGTAGTGCGAACGAGGGTTACGTATACCGCCCAGATTTATAATATTGTCTGCAAACCTTTAGATTTTGTATAATACTTAATCGTTCTAGCTTACCCGCCTCTAGATGTTCTTATAATTTTACCTAATAGTTTTTCGTTCACATTCGTTTCGTCTACTATTAACTTGCAAATTTTGAATTGGAACATATTTCAGGTTGGAATTGAAGACTGCCTTCATATTGAGTTCGAGTATAACAAGAGCAGGTATCCATTAAATTCGATTTTTTTTTGAATGTTGTCTATATTTGTGATTGGGTTTCGGCTTCTGTATTACCTGTTTTCGAGCTTTGAGTCTGCTTTAGCCTGCCAAGATATAAACAGTGTTTGTGGTAAATTTAAGAGCCAGAAGTTCTTTAAGAACTATGCAAATTGCTAATTTCCTAGAATATTTCCTCGAAAAATTTGATGGATAACTTAATCATGAAGCCACACTTCGTTGTTCTGCTGCCGCATGCTATTAACCCTAGTTCTTCTTAGGGGGTGAAGAATGCATGCGCGGTTTGTCAACAGAAGCCACTGACAATATGTTTACGCTGCTGTACGTTCTTGCTTTTCAACTTGCCACTATACGTTTGCCGTTTCGAGTAATACGAAACTTGTTGGCTTGACCATCCCATTGAGACTGGAGTTGTTGATTGCTAAGGTTACCATCCCAAGACGTTATAGTGGGGAAGATCTACTTCGTGTTGGTTCGTATTAAAATCAAGCATATGGAAATCACAATAATCAAATCCGAAACTGTCGGCTCTGGTCCCAATGCTGCAAAAGAAACTGATCCTGGTGGTGAAATTCGAAATAATGGATGGTGCTCCTGTCAGAGGTGGGGACAATTTCATAATCGTTACCAATCTTGTCTCAGCTCATTTCTCATTATCATTGATAATGTTCATCTTACCTCATTTCAGGAGAATCTATTCCTATTCGCCTTTTCCTCGCTGGACACGATCTGGCCCCTACCATGCGTGATGTTAGTAAGAAATTCTCCGTTAGGTATCTTCTGAACCTCGTTCTGGTTGACGAAGAGGACAGGCGATACTTCAAACAGCAGGTCTTTTATTTTCTGAAAGTCTATTAAAACGGTTGTGCATTACTAAAGCGTTAAACAGTAGATTAACAAATGATTTTAAGGCTTCTATCATTATTGCGTATTTCTTGAGTAGCAGGGATCAATGTTATCTCTCATTCTCCCACCACTTTTTAAGCGCACTAAGACACGGCTCGAATTTTTTACTAAATTGAAGAACTGAGAATGTCGATCATTATGGCCTCTCTTTTCCAGAGAGCCTGTGATATTTACGTGTGTTACAATACACTCCCGTTTATCTCAGTTACTTAGCGTTTCTCTTACTTATCTATCTAGTTAACGATAAAAAAAAAACACTGGTTGATAGTTTTCATGTGTTTCTTGTGCCGTATAGGTTTTTAATGAATAGTTTCTTTAACGCAACGTTCCACCAAGATTGATTTGCTGAGCGTTTTTATTTCAGCTTCATGTTCTCATGAAGCTCTACCGATAAGCCAAGCAGATTCTAGGCCAAGGAGGTCGTCGTTACTTCAATTAGTGGACTGGATGTGAGTTTGTCGCTTCAAGTATTGAGTTTACACAAAATATTCATGTGCGGGAGAACAGTACCCCTCAATGTCGAAAATTTCCTGTAGTGATAGCGATTTGCTTGAGAAGGAGAGCAATCCTTTCTAGGTTCTCATTTTTCTGTTCGCAATGGGGAGGATTGAACTGTTTGAAGAACTCATTTATTTTGTTCGCTCGAGGTATAGGACCAAGTCGTGCGTTCTCTGCTTCTCGCCATATGGCCACTATCATCGTCTGCGACGATGTTCTTTGTTCTGGGGTCAATCATTACACCCAAAAGCTCGGCGCGCTACGCACAGCCTAAAAATTATTTCACTTTGAATGCTTCTTTCAAATTTTAGTATTCCGAGCTGAATCCTCATTAATGCTTGTATTGTTTGATAACTGGATTCATGGAATGCTGCTGTGGGCTGCCCTCCGCGGGAGGCGTAGGCGCGACGAGCTTGTGGTTGTCATGGGACACGCCTCCTTCCTCGTGGTCGTTGTGTGACAAAGTTTAGTGTCTCTTTTTCATCTCGTCGCGAGGTAGGGATTCGTTTACTCGCTGCTCTTAACTTCAATTTCTGCTACCATACTTTGTTATGGTGTGCTATTAGTAGCTATATACGTTACCCTACGCGGAAAATTAGCGGATCACTTTTAGGAAGATTAGGATAACTTCCCTTGGGAGGAAGCGAATAACTCTAGAGATCGGTTTGATCAATTGCTGGTGGTGTGCACTGTGGGGCGCTGTGGGTTTTCTTTTTTATTGGTTGAATGCTCCCAACCCTTGGAAAGGCTCACACTACTCGGAATGATATTCTTCAAACAAAATCACTGTTTGTACAATAGTAAGCATTTGACAGTTCGAGCGACGAAACGCAAATAAAAAAGCGTCATGCAGTGCAGTTCTATCCGTGAATCTTACGCAGTTTTCCCTCACTGAGTTTTTGAAGCATTCTAATACAGCCTTTCTCCTTAATGATTATTCTTTTTTAAAAAGCCTCTTCGCGTATATTTGTGGGTCAAATAAGAAGTGGGTATCAAATCGAGAAGCAGAATGATCAAATAATATTTTCTCCTTTGACTGCTTTTGAATCTCTCCGGATTACTTTTGGGACTTTTCTTTTGATGAAAAGGATGGGATGAAAGGATGGTCTGGGAAGTTTTCAGTGCGATGTTAGGGAGAGGTGGAGCTTTGTTCACTATTTCATCAATTCCTCATCCACCACATAGGATTTCAGAAGCCGAGAGAGGTCTCGACGAAGCCAACCTCAACGAGGGAGCTGCCGCGCCTTTCATATAGTCCGTAGAATAGTCATGGAAAACGAGGTAAGTGCTCCTCTGTCACCAAAAGCTCGTCAAGTGTATAAACTTGTACTTACCGGTGGTCCTTGTGGTGGGAAGTCAACAGGTCAGGATCGTCTAGCAACATTCTTTGAGAACATTGGATGGAAAGTGTACACAGTACCAGAGACGGCTACTATTCTCCTTGGAGGACGAGTGAAATTCGAAGAATTGAATCACGAACAGGCGTACATCTTCCAAAGGGATTTGCTGAGAACGATGCTTCAAATCGAGGACACGTTCTTCAATCAGGCTGAAGCTGGTGTCGGTCGTAATGTTCTCATAATTTGCGATCGTGGAGGAATGGATCCCTCTGCGTACACGGACCGCGAATCATGGTTTCGAATGCTTCACGAAATCGGTGTGGAAGAGTTCGATCTTCTCAACAAACGCTATGACCAAGTTGTTCATCTGGTTACAGCTGCGGATGGAGCCGAAGAGTACTACACGCTGTCTAACAACACTGCGAGAAAAGAGAATGTGGCAGCAGCTAAAGAGATGGACGACAAAACCAGGAAAGCCTGGTTAGGACATCCTTATCTTGATATCGTTGATAACACTGAGTGTAGCAAGTTTGAAGACAAAGTTCTCAAGCTCATTCAGGTTGTTTGTGATCGAACGGGCATAGATTCGCAGGATAGGCTCAGTAAGAACAGTAGGAAACGCAAATGGCTGGTTAGAAGCATCGACGAGTCTCGGTTTGTCAAGTATGAGCAGTTCAACATCAAGCACGATTACCTTCTTTCCGACAATACTGACACCCAAATTCGTATCCGCTCGCGTGAACAAAACGGTCGCTCAACGTACACCGTCACTAGACGCGAACTACATCGAGGAAAGGAGTTTGTGGAGACAAGAACACAGATCACATTTCGAGAGTACACTCGTTATCAAACAATGAAGGACCGAAGTCGTGCCGCTCTCCATAAACAGAGACGTTGTTTCATGGTCGGAAATCAGTACTTCAACCTCGATTTGTACACCGTCATTCCACCATCTGCAACATCATTGCAGTTGAACGGTCATTTGATTTTCCTTGAGACATACACCACCGTTCCCAAAGGAGAGCCGTTGTCGCTGCCGGATTTCTTGCAAATCGAGAAAGAGATAACCGGGCAGCCCGCCTACAGCATGTATTCGATGGCCAAGATGCCAAACATCGAAAACGAGATGGGTGATTTCGTAGGCGCAGCTGAATTTCAAGACGAGTGAGTGGTCCATTTCAGACGTAGAGACCTAATAGGCGTAAGGTTGTTGAGTGTTATGCTATCCTTAAACTATTATTTGCTGTTTTCCTGGCGCTTTACTTTTCTTGCTCGCGAAACTTCACCCTTGTCCTGACTGCGGTTGGTCGTTCTTCTCTGACATCACATGACGTAAATGAAAAGCCCGTGCACGCACTTTATCACAGAAAAAAACACCCACTGTTTCCGATCTCTTTTTTCAGGTTTCTTTTGTCTTTCTAACCCTAATCTGCCTTCCATGACGCCATCAGCCTCCATCTTTCTCTCTCATCTGCATCAGTCTTCTTATTTCCTTTATATCTATCAGGTCTTACTCGGCGTTTGGCGCCTTCCGCTATCCTTCTGTCCGTCTTCGCTGTCTTTCATATAAGCGCCCCAACTTTAGCTTCTACCATTTTTATAGTCCCCTTCATTGCTTTCAGTTTACCCACGCATGCAACACGGCTTTTCTGATCCATATAGTCCTGTTGGCTTTTTTTTTTTAGAAAATTTTCTATCGTTTTCTGAACAAATTTAAAATTGTGAAAATTAATTTTCCTTTTTTTTCACCTTCAACCACCATCAGCAACAATATGCCACAGTGCGTCTCGTGATTTCAACTTCTTCGCCAAACTTCTCACCAATCGCCATTCACTGTCAACGTTAAGACAAGGTAACTATTTATGTTTCCAATATCAACGTTTAGTTGTGGATCCATTCTCCATCTATAAAGGAAGCTTGTTACGGAGCAGCGTTTGTGGGAAGCGGTTTTTGCTGTGTGAGAGCGCATAGAAATAAGTAGGTTCGTTTTACCGCTGAGCAGGCGTGGAGGCGCCAAAGAGAGGAAAAAAGATCTTCGTTCCAACTCTCGATGTTGACGAAATTTTGAGTTTCTTCCCATTTTCCTGTGTTCATAAGCGTCTGAGCTTTCTGTTTGGACAAGACATGTACTCCGTTCAGTGCTGTGATACGTGCGAAATACAACTCTTATTACTGGAAGTTATCTTGAGTTTAGTTTTTATTATTTATTTAATTTATTTCTTAAAAAAAAAAAAAAAAAAGTATCCGCCAGCGCGAAGGCGTCGTAAGGAAAAAGTGTTTGATACAATGTCTTACCAGGCAGAGCCTTGTTTACAATTCGGTCTTTAACGCATTTCAATGTAGGTGCGGCGCCAATTCTCAATCTAGCCGCGTGTTAATCATTTAACTAAGCTGACGCATTAGAATACTCGCCGATTAGCTAGTATCGGTAGAGCTTCGGCGTCGCATGTATGTCTGCTCTTATGAGTTTCAATTATCTATTGGTTGATGAACTTCTGGTTCGTTGTTTTCAGGGTGTAAAAGGGGCTCAAAAATTCATTTAAAAGTGGAATTCGCGATAAGAAAGAAGGTTCAAAGAAAGGGAAAATTGCATAGTTGGGAGACAGGCGGACCTCCTGAGGGTGCTGACCGACGCGCAATTGGCAGCGAAAGATTTGACCTCGGCGATCTAGCATGGCTCACTCTTGGCGCGGTTGGCGGGGTACGCCCACCGACTATCTAATCACTCGCCGCAGGTCTATACGTGGCGAGTGATCAGATAGCAGAGAGAGCGTAGTGTTGAAGAGGGCACAGCGATGAGAGTCGCCTACAATGCGCAAATCAGCGGGCAAGGAAGGGGTCCCATTATTCGGGTTTCGGGTCGCTTACACCTGACGATTAGCCTTATTTCATTGAGCTACTGTTTTCATCTGGATGACACTCGAAGGAAAGGATCCCACCTCGACATGGCCTTTCAGGATGGGATGCATATTTCTGTACCAATCTTGGGACGCTGAATTCGAATCTGCCCTCCAAATCTGCTAAACGATTCTCTGAACGAAGTTGCGAAATCGTTTATCGGCGGAGAGTGCGTTCATGAGTCACTGGAGCCGCAACGGGGATGTGCTTCGGTGGCGCAGTTGGTAAGCGGATGGACTTGGGGGACTCGAGATGGAGGTTCGAATCCTTGATGAGTACGCTAGTTTTGCCTTTTATCCTTTCGGCTCCTAAACTTTTGCAAAACGGTTCTAGACCCCTTTTTGACTAGTAGCACGCCTTTTCGACCGCGAACACGTGCTGCTGAAAACAGGGTCTCCACGGAAAATTCCGTTTCAATGGGAACCGCAAGCATCTTCCGTTTATGTAAAGGAACTGAAGACTTTATTCAATGCGAGTATTACTGAAATCGGTTTGGTTGTGCCGAAACTGTCGTCTTCAGGTGACCAGAGGGGGTCAGTGTGGTCGTTCTCCACGAAATTGTCTTCCTCGATGTCGATAAGAAGGTTGTCATATATAGCGTCACGCAATATCGAGGAAAAACCCTCTATCAGCTTTCGCTCTTTCCGAAATAGTGCTCGCGTAATGTCACAGGAACCAATTCCTTCACCAAATGAGACAGCACCACCTTTGGGCAGAACATTTCGCTGGAAGTCTGATGGGGAGTATGTTGAGAAGATGACTGTTGCGCTGCTTCTTCTTTGGGGTGGCACATGGGCATCCAAAGGTTTTGAAATCCTCTGCTGGCCAAACATGTTGTCAAATACGATTGCCGAAAGGTGTCGAAATGCGAAATCGAGCGATGGAGGTTGCGTACAATCCTCTCCTGGTCATTCCTTGAGCATTGGTGGTTGAAATGAAATTTGTGCTCAAAACCCTGTTTCACTGCAAGTGTCGCGGTCGGAAAGCGCGTGCTACTGATCAAAAAGGGTATCTAGAAACGTTTGGCAAAAGTTAGAGCGAAAGGTTAAAGGCAAATTGCGTTCTAAGGATTCGAACCTTCATCTCGAGTCCCCAAGTCCATCCGCTTACCAACTGCGCCACCGAAGCACATCCCCGTTGCGGCTCCAGTGACTCATGAACGCACTCTCCGCCGATAAACGATTTCGCAACTTCGTTCAGAGAATCGTTTAGCAGATTTGGAGGGCAGATTCGAATTCAGCGTCCCAAGATTAGTACAGAAATATGCATCCCATCCTGAAAGGCCATGTCGAGGTGGGATCCTTTTCCGTGTTAGACAGTATTAGTATGTTATACGAAGTTATGATAGCTTCAGCCCTTGCCGAGATGAGACAGCATTCTTCAACCTCACTTGCTACTTGGCACTCAGACAGCAAGGTTCAGGCGTTTTAACAATTTGTTCGAAATCAATGTGAAGGGTAAAGAAGTAATTACTATCACGTTTAGAATTTGGCATCGCGGATTCATCTTTTAGTGGCAGTGCTTGTTATTTCTGGAAGTGACTGGTGTTCCTACCTCAACAATTTTTCGCTTTGCACCTCTCCAAGCTCTTGAAAATTCCACCGCAAAGGATGTGCTGTTTTGACCTGCTGTATATTACTTATGTTTTATTGTGTAGCTATTCATTACTGAGTTTTGAGCTATACAGGCATATCTCCAGGCGGTTCATTTACCTATGACACTCTATGAGCATTTAGTTTGAGGGCGGCATCTATTCCAAATCATCAAATCAAATTTTCCTTACTTAGGTGGTGCATATGAGAAGGGGAGGGTCGTGGTATTCTGTTCACGTTTTCTCAGCTGCTATCCGTGGCTTGACGCTTACCTGGCTTGCCGATTCCACGAGGGTGGTCGGTATACCCGTGTTGGGAGTTTCGGGGAAGCTCCTATGACCCCATATGTGGCGATCGGGCATCACAGCCGACTGGTGCAGGTTTGTGTCGCGGCCGACGTCTGGTTACGTGTTCGGAATCCACACTGTCCTCTTCTCATATGCAAAAGAAGGTTTCATCTACACTGATACGATCTCATTTATAGCCGGGACCGGTCAAGCAAATCTTTTATTTTCTACTTTTTCATGAAAAGTAATTTGAACCGCTTGGCTTTTAGGCTCATTCGCTATGCTCAAGTTTTTTTTTGATTGATTGCAGTTGGTTTTTAGTGAATTCTGGCTCAATTATGTTCTCAGGTTCACATTAGTTATTAGGTCGTAGTTAGATTTCTAGTTTTTTTTTTCCTACGATTCTTGTTGGGAGATTCGCTTTATTGTTGTTTGGTTTTTTTTTTTTTTTTAATTCATCTGGATCTACTCACCCAGTGATGTTACTCTGGGTTTCGCATATCCGCACAGGTTGTGGTGTGTATTTTAAGCACAAGTAAATTCACTTTCAGCTTATGTATATTCGTTTTCGCAGGCGTTCTTAGAAAGCCAGAAGCTCCCGCACAAGAGATGATACAGGCGATGGGTTTGGTGTTACTCGGCTTCTCGATTCTTTATAGCCATCGTGCGCGCGTAGACTTGCGCCTAACGCGGCACATACGGAGTAGTATATACGAGTCGGGCGTTTTAGAAACCAGAGCTTCCGCACAAAGAGATGATAATGATACAGACCGATGCGTTAGGGTAATGATTGCTCTCCTCTTGACTGCCATTGCTGTGATCGCAGGCCTTACCGGCACGACGAGTAGTGATATACATTATACGATAAGTTTTTCTAACCTTCTCGATCTCCTGTAACAACACGGGCGTTAACGGGCGTTGTTGCCGTATGGAAACCGTCTGCTGCAGTTAAGGATGAGGGAGCTCCGGGGTGTTCGAACCACCTTGCTTTCGTTTTCGCACTCACGGAAATGCTTACTCATAGTGCCAGAATTGGAACCGCCATAGGCAGCACGAATTATTGCACCATATGCCCTCCTCCTTAAATCTTCTTCCTTCAGGGGACGCGTCCCCTGCCGCTGACCCTCTATGGTTGGGAAGACTGGGTTATGGCTGTCTTGTACCCAACCTTGTCTCCTCAAACCATAGGATGAGATCAGCGACGAGGGATACGTCCCCCTGGGGTAAGGATAGGATACGACCTGTCATTGCAATGATGCGCTATCATAATAACAGTGTCTTTTTGGGTCTGAATACGGCTTACGTTGAATAAATCGCATTACCCGAAGCACCAGCCGCAGAGTGGTTCGTTCTTCTGTGACAAAAAATTCATGAAAAATATAGAGCTACTGGCAAGGTTCTGCAATGCTGTGATGAAAACGATTCGGACGAGCGGAAAGTTCAGAATAAAAATTGCTTCGCAAATCAAGAACTGGTTGCAGGCTGTCTGGGTACGGAGTGGCAGCAGTTCATCCTCAAAGAGGTTTAGTTTAAGTAAGGTGACGTGGTAGTTCGAGGCATAGCGTTTCACCTCACCCATAAGCCAAATATCTTATCACCCCTTCACCCGCACTGTTGGTTGATATCGAAAATCCCCATGAGCTGAACAGCTCCGAGGTAGGAGCTGAAATCTACATATGTCAAATTTCCATTGGAATAAATGAGAGTCAGACTCATGGCTTATGAAATAGCCCGGGTCAATGATATCGTGTATTGTGGAAGTTCCAAGTTTTTAAAGTATTTTATAGAAAAACAAAAAAATAATCATAACATTAGTGCAATCAAGTTCACAGAACTCACTAATGGTGCGAGTGAAGGTGTCAAGCAGTGTGCTAACGAAGTGCATAGCTAATAATAAGTCACATGATAAACACCTAGTAATTAAACCGGGAATAACAAATTATCCATAGTCATCTAGAGGAATCCGAGAAATTTTCGAATTCCTCTTCTAATGAAGCTTAGATGCACGAACGGTGTCTTTGGTCGGCGAGCAGCACTTTGTATCAGGCAGAGCTTGTCGGCTATCTTCTGGCAACTGTAGGGTGAGATGTCGTTGATTGCACGAAGACGTCGTTCGAGTAACGTCTCTGGAAAATCGTGTATAAATTCAGAATAATACAGTTTCAAGCGACTTCACCTTAACCTTTGTCTCCAAAATGAGCATTTTTGGCGGCAATTTTACCGGATCAAGCTATTGCCCTAGTCAGGGTCTAAAAGCAAAATGGGCTTCAAAAAAGCGTAAGGGCGATAGGTTATCACGTAGTGTTCATTAATAGACCGATGGGACGAGTTTATATGTGACAAAAGGAATAAAGCAAGAAATCAAAAGCGAGGGTTCATGAAAGGCAGGCCAGGCCAGAAAGAATTGCTGAAGCTCCTCTCCATTTTTTCTGATGCAGCCTCAGCTGTCTTTTTTATCTGCAAATTATCCTTGTTTTTTTTGAAAGTGAGCATCGGTGGCGGGTCAACCGTCCGTTCGAACTGTTCGAACGGGGGGGGGGTCGCATTTGTGTGTTGGGAAGGGGAGAGGGGCGCATTGGTACGCATTTGCGCGCTTCGAATGATCACCAGGGTCAAGCGTGCGTTGAGGAATCCTCGACACGTCGCAGGGGGGGGGGTCGTATTGGCCCGCTGGGTGGAAGAGATCGAGCCATTTTGATGCAGTGGGATCATCACCGTCGGAAGACAAATATCAAGGATGAGTCGATGCCAGGCCAGAGGATTTCCAATGAAAATGATATTTCACCCACACAAAATTTTCGTGATTCTGAGGCGTCCGGTAATTCTTAGTTACTTCAGTGTTTTATCACACACACAAGTTAAAGAATCTGAATTTCGCACGCTTTCCAAGAGATATTTCATCTTTCAAGTAAGACCCCGAATCTGAAGGGATGTGAGGTACACGGCGCATCCGAGAAAGGGTCTAGTTGTTGCGCGCGCTTCAACTACGGCTCCTTGGACAAACAACCTCAATTCATCAATCGAGAGAATTCTGAAAGTGTCCGTGCGCATTTACAGGGAGGTGTACACCATTCAACATTGCGTTAACGGACTCTTCAGGGTTAAATTTATAAACATGTAACCTTTAAAGTTGAGAAACGCTAATCAATCACTTTTCTTAGAAGAGAAAAGCAGTGATTCCAAATCTGCTCTTACTTTAGTACATAATCGCCCTTAAAAGGATATACAGCCGTTGAAATAGTGCCAATGTAGCGAAAAAGTACCTTTCGGCCGTT